TGCACCATAGAAATGAAACACAGTAGAAATTAAAATTTTTTTTAGAATCGAAAGCTGTTCTGCACTATACAATATTTGGACTTTGTACTTCTGGACATGAATTATACTTTCACACTTTCATTGTATAATTTGTACTTAAAAATTAATTCTATTACGTTATGACACCTCAAAAAAGATAATAATAATTATTACAAATGATATGATAACCTTAAATACCTTTCGTACAAGGTTCAACTATGTTTTATGTTACGAAACGAAATGTCCGGATACTTATGGACGGTAGTGTATATATACCAATGGATTCATAATAAAATTCTCTTCATTTTTTGTTATTATGCAAATTTGAATAAATTGTAAAGTAAGGTTGTGAAAAATTTTTTTAAAAAAAGTAAATTACATTTTGCACAATTCAGTAACATCTTGTTATTATTAGCAAAAAACCATACAACTTTCCCTATTAGAAGTTTTTGTATATGACGTATGGTTTTCGAGATAGCCAAAACGGGTCGAAACTTTAAGGGGTCGTTTCACCCCTTAAACCCGCATCTTAGCCGATAAAAAAGATACGTGTCCCTTATTTTTGCCTGCTTAACAAACGTACGAAGTTTCATCAAAATTGGAGGGGGACACTTCTATGCCTTTCCTTGTAAGTTTCAATTGTGACTATGCTAAAGGTAACTTTGTGCTATCTACTTCACTGATGTATTTTCTTTCTTTAAGTCAAATTGTTTTAAATTTGTTGTGCCTTATTAAATCATAATCGTTCTTTCAAGTAGATATATCGTTTTTGTAACAATAAATTACATAATATACAATAATGTGTTTTTAAGAGATACTGCTAATAGGTACAAATTTTGCAACCTATTACTTTTGTCCTAATTGAAGCATTCTATTTTTTATGATTTGCAATTTAAGTATAGTCGATTATACATAAAAGAGTTCATGATATTATTTTCTTAAATGTTGCTTCCAATTTTTTTAATTTTAAAAATTCATGATAAATTTATGTTTATACGTATCTATGAAATTAGTAAAAGTATTATTTAAAAACATAATTTTAACTCACTGCTTTTTTATTATACTAAATATTCTACAGATAGAGACAGAAGTAACAAACATTTATTACAAAATGTTTTATTAAAAAAATTGGTACAACATATTTCAAGCTTTTAGACTTGATTATGACGTCCGATATACAAGGTTTGTTGTAATGTACTAATTATTCAAAAACTTTGCGCAAGTTAAAAATTATACATCCGAAAGACAAATTGTTACGTCTGTTTCTGACCTCCTCTATTTGTTACACAAAATGGCTGTACTTTGCAAGGTTGGCTTTCTTCATCAACATATATTTTTTATAGAAACAGAAATAACAATGTGCTATCAAATTTTACATATGAATTTCAAAATATTTGATGATTATGTAATAATTCTTTCAGATAATTTTTTATTATTATAAATTTATTATAAAGTATTTAAAAATGGCAGGATCAAATATTAGCGTGCGAGGAGGAACTGGATTTTTAGTTTACGAAGGTATCGCACAATCTCACATTCATAAATGTGGGATCGTAGGGTGAGTAGCGATCCGAATATAATGATACAATTTATTGGTACAATTTATTATTCGTCACAATGTCTCTCTTAGTACATACAATCTATTCGTCACAATGCTTCTCTTACACCGGCTCGAGCAAGATTCTATTCGTAACGAACATTCGCACGTAATCGTAACCGATTATCACGTGACCTCTATGCACTCTCTCACTCTCTCTCATACTTTCTTTCTAATTCTCTCTCACTCTCTCTCTCTTACTTTCTTTCCAATTCTCTCTCACACTCTCTCATACTCTCTCTTACTCTTCGTATCTCTCATAACCCATACACATAATTATTAATCCCACATAAATAACAATAAGAAAGGCAGATAATTTTGTAATCGATTGTACTTTTTTATTACGAAATATAATACAAAATTTGGCAATAAATTATTAAATATAGTGTATATGTACAAATATATTACTTAACATCTACATTAGAAACATCTGTAAGATAATACTGAACAATATGAAAATTACATTACAATTATTGTCTTTTATAAACATCTATTTGCTAATAATGATCGCTTTTTAAAATGGCATAGTCATTATTCTTAAGCGACAAATTATCACAAATTGCGTTGAAGAATCTTATATTAAAGTCACCTTTGAAACAAGGCAACTGAGAAGGTACTGTCAATATCAATAAATATTAACCGCTAATAATAAATAATCTTACATCTAAAACATCATAAATAAATATTAAACACTAACTCCAATAAATAAATAAATAAATAAATAAATATATAAAATAATGAGATGTTATCTAAATTTGCAATAAGTCGATTATCTCAAAGATCATCATTAAAAAAGTTGTTTCTCCGATCGTGCATATTGCTTGATAATCACGATCCATAAACACTAACAATAAGTCAGTTTGCACTGCTCATTTAACTCTCAATTGGCGCAGTCACCAATGCAGGATTTGCAGTTTAACACATTGAATACTGCTGTGAATACCGAAAGCTTATGCCGTGAATTACATATTATCGAACAATTGAGGAAAAGAAATTTAAAAAAATAATTTTAAAAATTATAAACTACTATGTTCCGACTAATTATAATTATAATGTACTTTACTATATTCGGTTTTCCCTGCAGAATTCAACGTGCTAAATTTAACTTTTACTTCTAAAAGTTCCTAAATTGTATATTATTGACTCGACTTTTATCGTTTAAAAATTAACCCTTTTCAGACTTCCAAATTTTGATCTATAAACTTGTTCGAGTCCATTATCGAGTCCATTTGTGCGAGACCACTCTACTACTTTACAGAATTGTTAAGTGTAAACTAATATACTTCGCAGCATTTACATTATTTGATGAGTATCTACAGTTACTTAGATAATCAAGGAGTAGATTATCTAAATAAATTTTTAAATAATTATGTTGGAAGGTACTGTTGATACAGTCCACATAATCCGAACAAGGGTTAAACTTAGTTCGCACCGTCGTCGTTGACGATGTCCCGTGTTATCATTATTATTTCTCGAGCTTCATGTTACTTGACGGGATTTTTTAGTTATTGAAAACATGCTTCCAGGCGTGTAAGTAATTTCTGTACTTGAGAAGTACGCCCCAGTCACGAACCATTCTTCTGGTATCATCCACGGGATGTCTTTCAGTCCTGCTCATAATACTTCTCTCCACTCGAGATGGAACTCGAAGAAATGGCAGTGCAACGATGTTGCTTTCCACTTCGCACAACATCATCATTAAATAAGACTGTGTTGCTTCGAGCGCTTGGTAGACCTTCGGGTTCGTCTCGTCTTCTATCAGTTCCTCGAAGGCAACTGCGAATTTCTGAAGATCCATATGTAACTTAGGAAAATTGTTGGCGATCTGCAACAAAATTACATTTTTGATATAGCACTGTTAGTCTGCAAGTCGAGTTGATGAAATATGTTGCCAGCAAAGACATACAATTTTACTCAATTTTTATCTTTTTCTGATTTGTAACATTGTAGTGTAATTATATATTTTCTTGAAATCTCAGTTTTTGAAATAGTATTACGTATTTTTGATGTGCATATGACCATACGATTAATTTTGAAATTACTTTAAGTAATACAAGGACTTGAAAAGCACATTTTCATGTAAGTTACTCAAAATTTTACGATACGTAAATTTTTCACTTAAAGAGAATATATTTTACGGAACCTTTCCTTTCATGATTGAAAAACAATTTTTAGTAGAGCTATGCAATGAAATTTAAATATTTCTATATAAAAAAAAAATTATACCAATTTTGTGATCTCTGTGTATTTCCTGATAATACGTGTGTGCAAAAGTTCTATCCACCCTATTTCCATAATAAAAGCTATTACGATAGTAAAATATTAAACTTTATAGAAATATTAAAGCTATAATATTTGAAATTTTTTGCATTTGCAATGCGGTTAAATATTAATATTTAACGCGTTAAACCTTATTTTATTTACATACTATGAAACATTGCTACTAATCGTCAAGACATTTTAATATTACCAATTGTTGTATTACAAAAAGGAGTAGAACTTTGGCATATTATGTGTTTACTTGATACTACTTTCTAACATAAGAGTATGAAACATTAACACTGGTCATTACATCACTTTGACACTGGCAATTGGTGTACTTGTTATATAAATTTTGTATTTACGTTTCGCGATGTAAAACAGATAATGATCGCTTTTTAAAATGGCGTAGTCATTATAAAATGTAGTCATCATTAGATTTTTGCCACATTATGTATTTATTTGATATTCCTTTATGACATAAAAACACTTCATAACTTGATACTCCATATAACATAAGTATGAAACATTAATACAGTAAATATTCGATATGTGCACAAATGATCTGTACGATATGTGCACCAAAGTTATCCCCACCACTGGGGGGAAGACCCCTTCAGACGCCAAGAAGCTCGATCGCCGAGAAATGTAAATTGATCCGAGCCTTAGTGTGTCCGTGAGACAATACCAATGCAAATATAAAACTTTTTTATTTTTTATTTTTCCGAGATCCAACTTTTACCAATAGATTCTTTACATTTTTCTGATTAAAATAAGACCAAACACGACATAATTTGGACTATATTTACTGGTGTAATTGCCGATAAAAGTTTCTCACGTCGAAGAGGATAGCGAGTCAAAAAGAGAGAGACGCTACGATCGTAGCAGTCGGCAAAGATCAAAAGTCTGTTCGATTGTTTGCAATACTTGAGCATTGCTAATTTTTTTATTTTTCATCCATTTTTTTATATAACTTTCTCCATCATATTCGAGACATTTTCCTGATTAAAATGAGACCAAACACGACGTAATTTAAGTTATATTTACTTGCAATATCTTATTAGAGTAAAATCATCGATGTACGCGTAACACTTGAAATTACAAGTAAATATGTCTCGAAGTATGTCGTGTTTGGTCTCATTTTAACGACAAAAATGTTACAAATATGATGGAAAAAATTTCACAAAAAAAAAATAAAAAATAAAAAAGTTTTATTCTTGCATTAGGAGTGTCCTTCTGGTAGGTCACTGTTTGTTTACGTTCAGTCTCCTTCGCTCGAAATGTAGGAACTGTACGATATCTGCACCAGTTC